AGAAGAAAAAGAAAGAAAAGAAGAAGAAGAAGAGAAAGAAAAAGAAGAAGAAGAAGAAGAGAAGAAAGAAGAAGAAGAAAGAAAGAAAGAAGAAGAAGAAGAAGAAAGAGAAGAAGAAGAAGAAGAAGAAAAGAGGAAAAAGAAGAAGAAGAAGAAAAGAAGAAGAAGAAGAAGAAGAAGAAAAAAGAAGAAGAAGAAGAAGAAGAAGAAAAGAAGAGAAGAAGAAGAAGAAAAGAAGAAGAAGAAGACGAAGAAGAAGAAAAGAGAAGAAGAAGAAAGAAAAGAAGAAGAAGAAGAGAAGAAAAGAAGAAGAAGAAGAAGAAGAAGAAGAAGAAGAAGAAGAAAGAAAGAAGAAGAGAAGAAGAAGAAAGAAGAAGAAGAAGAGAGAAGAGAGGAAGAGAAGAAGAAGCAAAGAAAGAAAAGAACAGACGAAAGAAGAAAGAAGAAAAGGAAGAGAAGGAGGAAGTAGAAAAGAGAAGAAGAAGAGAAGAGAAAGAATAGGAGAGAAGATGAAAAGAAAGAAAGAAAGAGAAGAAGAAGAGAAAGAAAGAAGAAAGAGAAAGCGGAGAGAATAAAAGAGGAAGAAAGAAAGGACGAAGAAGTAAGAAGCGAAGAGGAAGCAAAGAAGAGGAAAGGAAGAGAAAGAAAGAAGAAAGAACATAAAGAACGAAAGTTAGAACAAAAAAAAACAGAAAAAGATAGAAAGGAAGAAAAGACGAAGATGAACATCATAAATCGATGGCTCATTAAAAAAAGCAGACACGAACTCAAGAAGTGAACTATGGTTCAATGTGTTGATTATGACACAGCCGAAGAACGTAAAAACGGAAGAACGTAAAAACGGAAGAACGTAAAAACGGAAGTTGCGAAAACGATTATAAGTAGATAAAAACCTGCCAAACGTATGTCCCATAAAGATAACTTCGTTAGATGTCGAACATCATCCAAGTTTGTCAGTGATCTTGTGATTGGAGTTTGATAATTTGCTACACCCACGAGTGTGGAAACTACTTACGTCAGACTGATCCGGCTAAATCTGTCAATCGTATCATTTTACTTCCTGCCAACACTTAATGATGTCGATATTACGAAAGAAAGTTACAGTGTAAAAACAATCTTTTTGGCGTAACTTTGGTCGACGCCTAGTTTTATGTATATACTTGGCGAGTTCCTCTTTAGTTTCTATTTTAGTGATGCGGCTGCAACACTGGTCTCTCAGATTATGGACGTGCTGAATCTAATTCCTCGCCTGGCTACAAATGTATCTGTATCAGACACAACGGTGTTAAAGGGCACAAAATGAAAGAAATAATCAGAAAGTCTAAGTACTTCTAGTTTTCCTTCTACTTTCACCCTTAAATTGACTGTTGCGGTTTACATATAGACTGTGGTTTCTTTGTATTGTCGGCTCTGTGGCTAAGTCGATGCGAACACTTCGCTTCGTAATGCCGGGATGCCGGGTTCGATCCCAGCTGCGGGCAATGCACCTTGCGTTGGTTTCGACAGTGGTATCAAGAAAGCCGACCGTCCAGAAAGCAATGGCAAACTACTGGACGTAATTTGCCTAGAGAAACCACACAACAGCCAGGGGCTGTTAGGGTTGGTTCTGCAACGTCCTGTAAAGAATACGCAACAACCTTTTTTTCTTTGTATTCGTATAGCAAATTCCTGATTAGTCACTTTTTAAAACATGCTTAAAACTGTGCTGAAATAGGCACTAACTATTTTTATGAAGGCCTAAAGTTCGAATGCACGTAGCTCTAAATGAAAGAGGATTGTAATTCACATAAAATACCAAGCCTTCCAGGAAATGACATGGAAACTAATAGCAGCCTACATAATGATAGCAAATCTGATTTTGTTTCTTGGCTCTATAAAGTTTAAATTCACAGGCTGTCAGTGCATTTAAAACCATTAACCAGCCAACTGGCCAATTAACCACCAAACTACCAATCATACAATTAATGAACCAACCTACCACCAATCAACAACTCATCAACTACTAGTCGACTATCGACTAAGCGTAAGCCAATCACCAGTCAACCAATGCAACAACTAATCCACTACCAACCAACCAGCAACAAACCATCTCACCGAACGAGCAGGTTAACCCCTGCGACACTTCGGCTCTCTTGCAGGACAGCGGGCTGGTTAACCCCTACGATACAGCGGCTCTTATGCGAGAAAGCGGGTAGGTTAACCCACGCGTCTCCACGGTTTTCATGCAAGACAGCGGACAAGTTAACTCATGCGGTTCTGGTTCTTATGCATGACCGAAAGAAATTTAACCCACGCGATTCCGCGGCTCTCACACAAGACAGTGGGCAGGTTAACCCCTGCGACCAACTCATCAGCTCTCATGCAAGACATAAGGCAAAATAAATCGACTACGAAAGGATGTTTTTTTCTTTCCACCAGTAGAGAAACATCTGACAACACTTTAAATAGGATGCCCTTATAATGGGTCAACAATAAAAGCCGACAGTAAAACACAAAAAGGCGACATTTAAAGAATAGGGTGAAAAGCTTGGGAAAGGGATGAGATGAGAAGAGATCAGAAGAGAAGAGATGATATGAGATGAGATGAGCTGCACGAGAAAGGAAAGAAATGGATGACGTGGCGAGAGTTGGTTGAGGGTTTTTTTTTCCATTCAGAGATGAAGTTGCAGAAAAAGAAACAAAATTTTAAGACATACCAATTCTTATGAACTAGGTACTGCATAATTCCTGTTCAATGCCGCATAAATTCTTGTTGTGACGAAACGACCTTAGTGGTTTCAGAAGTTAGTACTTGTAATAATTTATTCTGGTTATAGAGAGACAGAGAATTATATTTACTATGCCCTTAACCCAAATATTAATAAAACCACATGGATTTAATTGTTTCCAGTCATTGGGCTAGACAAAGCAATCCAGCTTTGTGTAATATTACCCAAAATTACCTTAGCTAGCTATTTGTTTTACAAGCTAGTGTCATATAATTATCTCCTGACTACAGACTGTAAGGGAAACCAACTAGGAACTAATTATCACGCCTGAGATTATCTCCCATAAGCCAAACCTTAGTGTCATAAATGTTACATAACACAGAGTGGGGCCCTTTTTAACAGAGCAGTTCGGGGGATTTAAGTGGTCTGGTAGGTAACCCCAGACATGACGGCGTCCACTGGACGGCCTTTTCACACCTGCTAGTTAAAGTGGCTATAAACTAGATTTGCTCAATTAAGAATGTTTCATGTTGGTAAAGGCCTTTCACTTTGAAGGACAGGCCATTGATAGCTATTTTGATCTGCAAGGTACTCAGGGCGTGGCTTAGATCATCTCCTGGAGGGTTGGGTCGAACCTAGTAAACGGAGGAGTTTAACCTTGCAGACAGAGAGATAAGTTATACTTCTAGCATCTGGAGTTTACTTCACATCGCAGCCAGCCGGCTACAAACTCAGATCGACAGTTTGATTCTTGTTTGGCGATTGCTGGAAAGTTCCCAGGTATGCTTGTACGATTATTTTTAATCTTTTATACATAGTTTACGGAGTTAGCTAAGCCTATTCTACCTTTTCCTAATTGTTCTACACATTCTGCTTGAAATAGTTCTTTGTGAGGATTCAGTATCTCCGTTAGGGAACTGCCAAACCGTTTCTATTTCTTGTATGTTTGCGCCACATGTTTTTCAGTGTATGTTTTCATTTTTATAAAATAAGACTTGTATACTGAAATGTAATGAAATTATATTTCAACCATCAACCAAAACATGAGTTTGGACTTTGGGAAATGATGCCCACATATGCAGCCATGCTGTTACGTTTTGTGTGCCCACCATGTGCTCACTTAATTTGTTCACCTAAACAGGGGATTTATAACCCCAGGGGAAGAATCATTGTTGTATATTATTCACTGTCACTGAAAGATAATATTCAGGACAGCATGCACGTATAAAATGTTTTGAGAGTTCAGCACATAAACTGCGCCACATGTTTATGTCAAATCAATGTCAGCCAATTGGAAGTCTGGGTGATGACGGACAACAGACTTAGAAAGTCAACTATCATGACAGAACATGAGAGGGAAGGCAGGATATGTTAGACGCCGGTGTGAGACACAAGACCTTCAGACTAGACTTGAGAGAATGTGGAATATGAGAAGGAGTGATGATATATATTTTATTATTACATATTGTATAAATTATTACATGTATTCTTAGTGTAAGTCAAGATACTACACGTATGTGTTTGTTTCCATTATTATAGCGCCCATGTGGGTGACGACCAGTCCATTCTGAGAACAGAAATAGAGAGTCATCACGTGCCCGAGACTACATTGTGTTAGAACTCGGCCAGCTGGGAACCAGAAGGAACTGCGAGGAAAAGTTGGAACAGCTAAGAAGATACTCAACACGAGGGCTCTCAGAGGTTCCACTTTCTAAAAATACCATAAGTTAGGTACCATGTATTTATGTAACTAAACACCACCATTATCACTTCGCTCTAATCTTAGGTGCTCAGTTAGCTGAAGCATCTCATTACCACCATACCATCACTGTTGACTAAAAATATAAATAACCAAAATGATTTCTAGGTTAATAAATCAAATATATGGTATTATCCTGCATCAGCTTTTGTAATTCCAAGTGTGTCTGTTCTTACATGTTTAATTAAACTGTTAAGATGAAATAGCATTTGGTGGGGGCTAATTCAATAATATTAATAATTCTATACCAGGAGAGAAGGAAGTCGGAGGGGTTAACTGTGTATCTTGATATCTCATTGGCTTTATCTTGATATCTATCTATCCCTTCTCCTACTCCTGTGGGTACTAAGTGCAGCTGTTGTTTATTTAATGAAGAGCCAAATATGGCTGATTTCTTGGATATCCAGGACTTTGAGATCAACATAGCTCCGATAATAGTCTAGTTTCTCTGGTAGAGGTGAAGTGTTGAGAGGTAAACTCCTACTCATCACAAAAGCATCTATCCACTTCGGAACGACCGCGACACTTGTTCAATGCCGCATAATTCCTGTTCAATGCAGCATAATTCCTGTTCAATGCTGCATAATTCCTGTTCAATGCCGCATAATTCCTATTCAGTGCCGCATAATTCCTGTTCAATGCAGCATAATTCATGTTCAGTGCCGCATAATTCCTGTTCAATGCCGCATAATTCATGTTCAGTGCCGCATAATTCCTGTTCAATGCCGCATAATTCCTGTTCAATGCAGCATAATTCCTGTTTAATACCGCATAATTCCTGTTCAATGCCGCATTATTCCTGTTCAATGCCGCATAATTCCTGTTCAATGCAGCATAATTCCTTTTCAGTTCTGCATAATTCCTGTTCAATGCCGCATAATTCCTGTTCAATGCCGCATAATTCCTGTTCAATGCTGCATAATTCCTGTTTAATGCCGCAAAATTCCTGTTAATTGGTGCATAATTCTTTTTCAATATTTTTGTTTTAAACCAAAAAAGGTAGGGGGAGGCGAGAGGGTTTTCGAGTAAGTCACTCTCTGGGAAATAGCAGCAGCCAAGCAGTCTGTGATACCATGCAGTGACGCAGAAAACACGAAGGCCACACACTGACATTCAAACAGGAGGAACTGAAAACTTTATTTTGAAAACAGCAATAGTACATGCTTTACATGCTATGCTAGGTTTCTTCTTTGTCATCTTTGAGTTCTTTCTTAAACGAACAGTTAGCACATTGTGTTGTGGTTTACATTTAGCCTGGGATATCTGCGCATTTTTTCCCAGCACGTTTTATTTCAGCAAAAAACAACAAAGCGAAAATTGACACATTTTGTAACTCTTTCAATACCGAAACACTCTTTGCACGCCTACTTATAGTAAGTTACTCTTTACAAGGGAATTCCCAATGTGCAGTGTCGTCGATTGTTAATAACTCACTGATAACTCATTACACGCTATGCTTTTCTCAGCTCCTCATTTCTTACAAAGCCCGTGCGCTAATCCATTCTACACCAGTTGTTCTGCTACTTATTTTGTCTTATAGTGTTATTATTTGAAGCTTTTAATACGTAGACATGTCTTACTTGACATAACAGGATAAATCGAGTTAATGCTTGTCTCGGGTTGACCAAAGTTTTTTAAAAAAAAAACAGTCACGAGGGGGTGAAGAAAGAATATGACCTGGTTAGAAAGTAAGAAGATCAACGGAGACAAAACTGAAGTGATGACATTCTTCAGAAAAGAAAGAACCACCAATATCAAAATTTACGAACACCAGTTAAAGCAGGCGAAGGATTTTACATATTTGGTGAGCAATTTTATTTTAGAAGATGAAGAATTAATAGAAAAATCCAAAGATGTAATAAAGCCAATCAATTTTTATGCAAAAAGGCACTAGTTTTGACATGCAAGCATGTGAAAATGAACAGTAAAATAATACTGTTCAACACAACATTTTTACCAACACCATTCTTTAAGGGTAAAACATGGACACTGTCTTTAGAAGACAGAAGTAAAAATAGTCACGACAAAAATTGAATGTTTACCTACGGTGCTAGGTGTATTGAGGAAAAATCGATTTAGGAACAGTTATATCAGGAGCAGAGTTAGCACAGAACCTGTAGTTAGTTAGTTAGTCTTTCCTCTTGTGTCGAGTGCGGCACATAGGGCAGAGGTCATGACTCTCCATGCATGGCGGTTCGTTGCAATCTGTTGTAGGTCTTGGATGTTTGAGTGGCCCATGAGTGAGCTCTCCCTGATGATAGTTCTACGTAGGGTTTCCCTTGGTCTTCCACGAGATCTTTTCCCCTGTGGTGTCCAAATGAGGGCTTGGTAAGGAAGTCTTGATTTATCCATTCTAAGGGCGTGGCCAACATAGTTCCAGCGACGTTTTCGTATAAAATTAGACACATACTCTTGCCTGGATTCTTGCCTTATTTGTGTATTGGTTCGGAAATCTGACCATTTGAAATTTAGTATTCTTCTAAGGCATTTATTTTCAAAACTGTCTAATTTTGTGTCTACAGTTTTCGTTGATTTCCAGCTCTCGCATCCATAGGTTAGTACTGGAATCACACAAGAACCTATGCTGAACATTATAGGTAGACAACAAATCAAATGGTTTGGACATGTAACAAGATTGACGTCAGACAGGGCACCACAGACAGCAATGTTTAACAGATACAGTGGTAACAGTACTAGTGGTCAACCATGCAGAAAGCGGACTGCAGAAATAATAGGGCACTGAAAAGTACTTTATACGAAGCGAACAGAAGAGTCTGTTCCAGGGATCTGTTCCAGTCCTGACGCCACGAGGCTTTCCGGGGGTAGGGAACAGAAGAAGAAGAAAGCAGCAGATATAAAAATTGATGGAAAGACAGTTATATGGAGATTTCAGATAAGAATTCAATATATTCGTTTGCAATTAAACACACTAAACAGAAAAGGTGATGACAGATATGTTATCCCACCGCTTAGACTACAACCACGTCTGAGGAACTGGAGTCTTACAATAGTGTCATAACAATGCAGCTTGGCACGCTACGAAGTTTTCAACATTCTAGAATCCATGGCAAGTTTTTACACTTTGTTTTGTCTGTAATTCGACAATTACTGAAAATCTGCGAAGTTAAAAACACCGCAATAAAACTGTGACGTCTTGTACATAGTTTTGGCAGTAACGGAAATTCTGTTCTGAGCTTTAATTATCCTAGTTAGAGAGGTAAGAAGATAAATATACCATAGTCGAGAGTCGTCCAGTCAACCAGCCAGTCAGTCAAGGAATCAGACAGTTAGTCAAATAATGAGTCATTCAGTGAGCCAATGGCTTAGTAAAGGTCAGTCAGTCAATCAATCAGTCAGTAAATTATATAGTCAGTCAGTCACTTGATTAGTCAGTCAAAGTCAGCCTATCATTCAGTCAAAATCAGTCAGTCAGTCAATCATCAATTAGCCAAAGTCAACCAGTCAGTCACTTATTTAGTTACTAATCCAGTTCATTTGTTAGTTAATCAATATACCAGTTAGTCGGTCAGTCAGTCAACCAATTAGTCAGTCAAACAATAAATCAGTATATTATTCAATCAATATGTCGGTTAGACAGTCAATTGGTCAATAAGTTAGGAAGTTGTATGGTGGTTAACAGCTAGCTTGCGATATACTCACATTTCGACCCTGTACATTCTTCGTTCTCCAACGAACACTTTTGTCGCGCTTTTGCTTGTTAGTAGGCAGTGGATCTATTCCCCCCGTCTCCACCCTCCCCAGACCAAATTAGGCCCTTACCCTACACGGGAACCTTGATTCATGTAATCAACCTGTCGTTTGGGGATTTTGAGAATATAGGTAGAGGCGGTCATTGCACATTCAAATGATTTCAAGTAACGGACTCACAAAGCTTGTTAAGAGGAAATCGGGGGGAAATGATGAAGGAAGGGGCGGGAGAGGGTGCTAAGCCCCCTTATAATCTCCTAGTCGGTGGGGTGGGGGTGGGATTTCAAGGGCCTGAATCTGGATTACATGCGCAATAATAGTAATTATTATTATTATGGGCTGAATTTAAAATTTGTATTTAGCAAAATACAGTGGTACCTCGCTACTCGTTCATTTTGGGAGTTTCAACTTGATATACGTCCTTTTTAGACGCGAACACGTTTACTTAGCATTCGACTTTTGTTTAGAATTCGACCCGTGTGCTAGAACTCGCTTGGGTCAAAAATTGGTCACAACGAAAAGCTCTATCTTTGTTGACTGCTCTGAAGAAAAAGCCACGAATATTGGTCAATGACTTTGCTCTGTAGTTTAGGCGTTGCGAACCGGCTTCGCATTCTGGTTTCGATTCCAGCTGCGGGTTGTTGTGTTTTTTTTTCCCCTCCACCTTGCGTTAGTTTGGTCTCAACAGTTGTATCGACAGACGACCGTTTAGTGGGTAATGGCAAACTACTGAACGTAAAGTTTTTCTAGGAAAACCACAACAACCAAAAATTGCTTGCGTTAGTTTTGCAAGGTCCTGTAAAAGCAGAGCTTTACTGTGAAATGATATGTGATTCACCTTTTGGTTCCTTTGAGCTGTGCATCAGACACATCATGCTGTCACGATACTAATTTGAAAACCTCCTAACGTCGTTCTGAAAATTCCTGTAGTTTTTTCTGACATGTTGGTATAAAGACGTTGTCATCAGCATAACGTTGGTTGTTTATGTTATGACCATCTATATATATATAATATATATATATATATATATATATATATATATATATATATATATATATACTTGGGACACCAGTAGCTAATCAATATGTTACGTGAACAGGTTGTCGATGTTTGCAAGGAAGCATCTCATTCCGTTTCAATAGTTTGATCACACCGGTGAAACCGACATCTCTATTACCACCATTAAATCTTGTTCTGGTAATCAAACCACACGCTTCTGTGAGGATTACGGGCTCTCTCACAATATAGGCGTTCTAAGCCCAGCGGGGAATAATGTTCGGCGCGCCTTTGTATGATTTTTGTTGTTGTTATTCCCATAATTAATAATATTTTTGTTACTGTTATTGAATTATGAAGTTCCTCACTTTGTTACATTATTAATATTGTAAAGATTACAGTATATTTATTTTCATATTCTTACTTCTGTTGTAATGATTATCAATATTATAACCATTGCTGTTGTTATTATTATTATTGTTGGTTTTTTTTTTTTTGTGTGTGTGTATATCGCCATATCTATTCATTTTCCTGTATTTTGTATATTTCTTTATATTACTCACATAACTCTCCCATGTTGGCGCTAGTGTCCAGGATTTCTCATCTTCATGTTATGTCTCCCGCTGATAAAGGCTTTTATCGAAACGTTCTTATGTTCTCGTGCCATCCCTCACCCACCCCTCCCCCCAAAACACACGCACTGGTTCACAGGTACCTTGTGCTTAATGGCAACACATAGCTGAGCTATTTTAGACCATTTTACCGTGGTGTAGCGGCTAGACGCACGCCTGCCGATTGGAATATCATGGGTTTATATCCTGACGGAAAAGGGAATTTTTTTTTTTTTTTTTTAAATGACCTCGGATTCCAGGATGACCCAGGTTTAAATAGGTACTAGGTTCCGTCCTAGGAAGTAAAGGCGGCCTGCGTGGTGTTCACCACATCAACCGCTGAGTGTCGATTGGTTTATAAAATATAGGTCTAGCCCTATGCGCCATATACACCTTTACTTTACTTTATTATTTGGGCCGTTTTATACGTCATGATGGCCCGCAGAGACCTATGATGGAGGATACAGTTTGCGGAAAACGATGCAGAGGCAGACCTTCACAAACATGGATACAAAACATTGAAGATGCATTGGCTAATGAAAACATAGGTTTGGAGAACTGGCTAGAGGAAGAGAGATGTTCAGGCGTGTCGTGACGAGAGAGAGGTTCTGTAAAAGATTTGAAGACTGATGAAGAT